ATATTATAAAATAAAATTTTAGCACAATTTTGACAATTTTGTGGTAAAGTTGTTAATATCCTAGTTCATACACGAGCCAGGTTATATCCAATGATAACCCTTTCCGCAATTCCCCTGTACTCTTAAATGTGTATTTTTTACTCTTATAACAATTTGTTGATCCGTACGAGTAGTAGATCCTCAAACATATTACGCCTATCCGATCGTCTAGATATTGTACACATACAACCAAAATCATTACAGAACATTTGTTAATGGGAATTATAGGATCAATATATATATGAGTATCAATATTTGTGGAAAATTTTCTACAAGCCTGGATTTTATAGTATACTGATATCAGTCTAGAACGACTGGTACCGAGTCAGTGTTGTAATACTTGTATATACCCAATGTTGTATCACATTAATGTGGCTTACAAATGTCTTTACTTGATAAGTTGTATTTATGTCGACTATTGTTGCGAAATTGCATCTACGAATTAAATTCAACCGTGTCAAGGTTCGGACATTGGCATCGCACTAGAACATTCCTTTTCAGATCAGATTTTTCTTGTAGTAACGGACTTTTTTTCCATACAGACTACCATATTTTTCTTCAATGGTATGCAACTGCATATTGTGCAACCTTAGGAACATAAGGAGGTGGCTTTGAACGCTAAGGCGCCGGACACCAACAGATGCCATGGGAACCAGGGTACAAATCCCAGCCGGGCTCAAGCTGAATTTTTGAGTTTTGTGTTTATGCCTTTTTAGGGCGAAGATCATTCATGTAAATGTTTTTTATTAATTTCTCTTTCGAGATGAGCTACATGATCGGAGTTGCAATGAAAAGGAAAGTCAGAGAGATAACTACATTCCCACCACTATGCGACGCGTTTCGCCGTTGGTTAAGCGGCTCATCAGGCATATTGGGTAATGTGGCTACAAATGTCTTTACTTGATAAGTTGTATTTATGTCGACTATTGTTGCGAAATTGCATCTACGAATTAAATTCCACTGTGTCAAGGTTCGGACATTGGCGTCGCACTAGAACATTCCTTTTCAGATCAGATTTTTCTTGTAGTGACGGACTTTTTTTCCATACAGACTACAATATTTTTCTTCAATGGTATGCAACTGCATATTGTGCAACCTTAGGAAGATAAGGAGGTGGCTTTGAGCGCTAAGGCGCCGGACACCAACAGATGCCATGGGAACCAGGGTTCAAATCCCAGCCGGGCTCAAGCTGAATTTTTGAGTTTTGTGTTTATGCCTTTTTAGGGCGAAGATCATTCATGTAAATGTTTTTTATTAATTTCTCTTTCGAGATGAGCTACATGATCGGAGTTGCAATGAAAAGGAAAGTCAGAGAGATAACTACATTCCCACCACTATGCGACGCGTTTCGCCGTTGGTTAAGCGGCTCATCAGGCATATTGGGTAATGTGGCTACAAATGTCTTTACTTGATAAGTTGTATTTATGTCGACTATTGTTGCGAAATTGCATCTACGAATTAAATTCAACCGTGTCAAGGTTCGGACATTGGCATCACACCAGAACATTCCTTTTCAGAGCAGATTTTTCTTCTAGTGACGGACTTTTTTTCCATACAGACTACAATATTTTTCTTCAATGGTAAGCAAATGCATATTGTGCAACCTTAGGAAGGTAAGGAGGTGGCTTTGAGCGCTAAGGCGCCGGAAACCAACAGATGCCAAGGGAACCAGGGTTCAAATCCCAGCCGGGCTCAAGCTGAATTTTTGAGTTTTGTTTTTATGCGAAAGAGAAATTAATAAAAAACATTTATATAAATGATTTTCGCCCTAAAAAGGCATAAAAACAAAACTCGAAAATTTTTTTCGTTTCTTAAACATTTTTACGTGCCCCATGTGACCTTAAAATTGACATATAATTACGAACTTTTTTCGAATTGTTTAAATAAACAACTCGTCTTTTTTTCGTCCAAAAACAACTGACCTTTTCCACCACTACCACAGCGACTAAACGAGTAATGTAACAACTGTCGGCAACTGCTAAAGCATATGTTTGTCAACACGTTTGATTGCCATGCCCAACAATGTGGCGAGTGAATGTCACAAGGCTCCTTGTGGAGTATGGATTTAACAAGGGGGGTCGATAAAGTGCCTTAAGGTACCTCAAGTGTCACTTTTATAATTAGAAGCCACAAATGAACAAAACCAAACACAACAACAACGATTCATTCAACTTGAATACAAACAATCCTTAATGATCGTCATATTCTAAATACAACAATTTCAATTGCAGCGTGGAAAAACAAAAACAACTAGCCTTCAATATATGGAAAAGGTCATGTCTTATAAAGTAAACGAACGAAAAAAAAAAACAACAACAAAAACAAAAATGTTTATACAAAATAAAGGAAACAATTGCTTCTGCGTACTTGTGTCACACATTGCGTCACATATCGCATACACCAGGATTTGAATACGAACGAATATGTCAAATTGAGACAGACAATCTGTCTCAATTCATTAGTGGCGAGTAAACAATTACTTGCATTTGTTGTTGTTTCTTGTTTTTGTAAACTAAAGAGCATATCAAAGTCATTGCATTCCTTTAGATATCTCCACATTTGGTTTATGGCCGACCTGCAGCTTGCATGGCTATCGCATTCAGCCACCTTTTGTTTTTAGTGGCCAGCTGTAATTGATAGTGGAGCTGCTGCTACTGCACTAGATAACCAACAAAAAGTGGAGTGTTATTTTTATTTCTAATTTTATTTAATAATTATATGTTGTGAAAATGAGTATGTCGTTTTTTGACTTTTTTGGATTGCCAGCTCATTTATTTTTAATTTTTGAGTAATGACTTTGTTGAATTCGGTAGGAGTTAACCAACGAAGTGGATAATGGGTTTCAATTGCCTGCAAAAGTGTGTAGCAGAAGATGTAGACTTGACTTACCCTTTCATTAAAAATTACTATTTTAAGAAGTTGCTTTAATGCAATTACAATTATTTCTAATTATAACTTGCATGTGCTTGTCAGATATTTAAAAATCTGAAATTAGTCGAGCAAAGGCCTTGGAATAATTATTTAGTAATGGGGAAAATTATATAAGAGAAGGGAGTTTTTATAAAACCTGGGGAGCGGAAGGGAGTCTCCATAGTTGAAGGGAGCCTCTATGTGAGAGCTGAAGGAACCCTCTTTAGGCGAGCTAAATGTCGTCCTTATAGACGATCTGACGAGCTGAAGGGCTGAACGGCGTCTCTACATATGAACTGAAGGGCGCTTCTATAGACTATCTGAAGGGCGTCTCTACAGACGATTTGAAGTCTCGAAGCAGGAAGTATCAATAGATCAGCCTGAAGTCAGAAAGTCTCTATAGACGAACTGATGGTAGAATATTAAAATATATTCTATAAATGGCTCTATAAGTGTGGATTTTCAGACTCGATTTTTTCAGTCTTTGAATTCAACTCCTGTAGGAGGTCTTGAATACTTTTATTTATAAAATAAAAATGGTTTCTGAGGGCCGTCAAGAGATGATGTCATTTATGACTAAAAATAATATATATATATGCGAGCTGAAGGCAGTCTCTATAAACGAGCTGAAGATAGAGAAACTTTATGAACGAATTGAAGGGAATTTTTATAGATCAGTAAAAGAACTATCTATTGTCGAACCGTATGGAATGTCGATAGACGAGCGGAAAGGAATCTCGAGCTGAAGGCAGTATCTATTGAAGAGCTGAATGGAATATCTATAAACGAGTTAAAGGGAATATTTATAGACGAGCTGAAGGGAGTATTTATATACGTACTAAAGGCAGCCTGTATATACGACCTGAAGAAAGTTTTCATACGCCAGCTAAAGGGAATCTCGAAATTCCGGGAGCCTCCATAGATAAGTTGAAGGGAGTCACTATAAATCCCAGCCTAATGACAGGGCGTCCCTATAGACCAGCCTGAAGATCGGGAGTTCTACAGACAGCTGAATGGAGTATCTACGGACTATCGAAAGGGAGCTCACCTGAAGGCATAGAGAATTTATAGACGAGCGGAAGCAGGAATTCTTGATAGAAGAGCTGATGAATGAAGTTTAAAAAAACGATTTTTAGATTTTCCTAGCGTCGATTTCTGATTCAGGGCCCTCAGGATGTTGAAGACCTTTATTTATCAAACATATTTTTTGATTAATTTTACTAGCATGAACAATTCTGATGAAGAAATTTGGATTAAATTGGAAATTGAGTTATAAAAATAATTTTAAGATGGCTTTAGAAGACGAATTGAATTTGTTCTATATATAGGTGAGTCTCAGCAGGTATTCCATGTAGACTCTTAGATGGTATTCAATCAATAGAAGACTTTCAATATGCCTCACAAGGGTTATATATAAAATATCCTAGAAAGACTTTTGGGCTTCAATAGATGTTGCACCTATATTCGTCCTATGCATAGAAGACCATCAGGGGATTTTTTCAAAGAAAAACTTCAGAATTTATTATTCAATGCATTCTGCCCTAACCCATGGTATAATTATTACAAGGTAGGGCACAGCTACCAACTGATTACAATTTTTTCTCAAGGTGGCTTGTTCAATCAAATCAAAATACATATTTTGTGTATGTGTGTGTATTGTTTTGAATACAATGTCAAATAAATTCAAAATAAATTGAAATATATTCAAGTTTAGTTGAAATAAAAATAAAGTTTTTAGCGCGTTCGTCTGGAAGTAATAACTTTGTTATGGATGAAATAAACATTTGATGGTATTCCCTACAGGATTTTGTTAAGAAATCATAACCTTTCATTCATTTTTCGTGTTTTTAGTTTTGTGTTGAAAAAATGTCAAATAAACACAAACACTTGTTGCGTATATTTATTTTATTTTTGGCAGAAGAGGCCACACCTGCATAGTTGCTTTTTTGTTATTCACCTCAAGCTGCCCTACCTTGTATTATTGTACCATGCCCTAACCCAACAACAAATATTTATAATTTCAAAATTCTCTCCCTTTTTTGTCATTTCAGATTCTTATTGTGGAAATTATACAATCTCGCCATCAAGAGAAAATCTCAAATGGTAATAACACTGGCCGACGTTATGTGTTTATGGGCTATGAAATACCCGAATGGTTGGTGCAATGCTATAAGAAAATTGGCATTTTCGGATTTGGTGCTGGTGTTTGTCAAATGACCACAGATATTGCCAAATACTCGATTGGACGTTTGAGGCCACATTTCTTTGCGGTAAGTAATTTTGATTAAAATTCTAAATAATTCTGGGATATTTTTGGAGAATGTGCTTCAAAAATAGCAAAAAAAATAGTAAAGTTTTTTTGATGTTTTTTTTAATTTTTTCCCTACAACAAAGTTTCTAAAAACTTAGAACAGCCACTTATTTTGTGGCTGTTTGAACAAACACATGTCTGGCAGATTTCGTTGTTGGTTTTCAGAATAATGGCTATATTTTGTGGTGTTGAAGTTTATGGGTCTGTCAAAAACGAAAAGAACAGAAGAATTTAATTTCATCTTTATGGTAAGAGGGAGAGAATTCCGAAAAAAGAACGAACATCTAAGCTAATATTTCGATGGACGACAAGCAATTGTCACTCGAAGTTTATGGGCATGTATGCCACTTATTCTAATGGCTTGGAAATTTCGAATGTTACACATTGGCTAAAAAATCCAAAACTAAAAGCAATACATTGTGTAATAATAAAAATTCATAGCAACGAATTTTATTATCCAAAATTTCCAAAGTCATTTAGCAATGGAGTTTTTTTTTTGTTCTTTTACATCTCTGCGATACAATGTGCCACACTTGTTTGGTGCTGCAAGTAATTTAATTTCAGTTTTGTTGTTGTTTTTGTTTCATCTTTGTTTATTCTGAAGTTGAGTACCATACCGCACACTCAGCCAATATAAGGGGGAGGAATTCCCATTGTGTCTATTTATCCAGACGCCAGCTGTTTTTTATATATTTTATTTTTGTTTTCATTTCAATTTTTTGGTTATTCCAATTATTTTTTCCCCGACAAGCACTTCTCCGTCATTAAATTGAGGAGAAGGGTTCAAAACATTTGTTGTGTCAAGAACGTGAGTACTGAATGAATGGTATTCCCCCTCTTTTTAAATGAAAATCAGCCATTCGATTTTGTTTTTATTATTTTATGAGTTCCTTTACCCCTAATTAGAACTGGATTTTGGTTTTTTGCTTCGGCGACAATGACAAAAAAATCCAAATAAGACTTTTGCATATGTTTTGAGTTTTCAAGATGCTTCATTTGTCGGCACCAACATTTAATGGGTTATTAAAATTACAAAGTATTAAAAATATGAAGAAGTGGTATGTGAATATTTTCAAGGTCAGGAATAATACACCGCGCAACAAAAATTTTAAGAATGGAGAGATTTATTTTTTGTAATGAATACAGACGAACAAAAAGGCGTCTTTACAGATGATCTAAAGGGAGGACGAGCTGAAGGGAGTCTCTATAGACGAGAGACGAGGGAGTCTCTATAGACGAGAGACGAGGGAGTCTCTATAGACGAGCTGAAGGGAGTCTCTATAGACGAGCTGAAGGGAGTCTCTATAGACGAGCTGAAGGGAGTCTCTATAGACGAGTTGAAGGGAGTCTCTATAGACGAGTTGAAGGGAGTCTCTATAGACGAGCTGAAGGGGTCTCTATAGACGAGCTGAAGGGAATCTCTATAGACGAGCTGAAGGGAGTCTCTATAGACGAGCTGAGGGGAGTCTCTATAGACGAGCTGAAGGGAGTCTCTATAGACGAGCTGAAGGGAGTCTCTATAGACGAGCTGAAGGGAGTCTCTATAGACGAGCTGAAGGGAGTCTCTATAGACGAGCTGAAGGGAGTCTCTATAGACGAGCTGAAGGGAGTCTCTATAGACGAGCTGAAGGGAGTCTCTATAGACGAGCTGAAGGGAGTCTCTATAGACGAGCTGAAGGGAGTCTCTATGGACGAGCTGAAGGGAGTCTCTATGGACGAGCTGAAGGGAGTCTCTATAGACGAGCTGAAGGGAGTCTCTATAGACGAGCTGAAAGGCGTTTTTATAGATGAGCTGAAGGGCATCTTTACAGGCTATTTGATGGGCTTCGTTATAGACGAGCTCTGAAGAGCGTATTTATAGATTAGCATCTTTATAGACGTAGTGAAGGCGGGGTTTCTCTATAGAGGAGCTGAGGGTGCCTTTATAGACTGAAGAACGTATTTTTAACTCGACCTGTCTTTAGGCTAGTTGTCTGTATACATTGAGCTGAAGTCATGGAGGTTTTAAAACTTTGTTTTATTATTAGCAGCTGAAGACAGTGAAGAAAATCTCTAGAAGATATTTCCTCTATATAGAAGATCATTATGTAACTGTCTATTGTATAGATGACTATTAAATTTGTCCTTTTGTATGGAGACCCTTCTTCTTCTTCATTTGGGGATAAAATCACATATTAAAAATGATGTAAAACGACAACAACAAAAAGTGTTGGATAAAGAACCACCCATGTAGCTCGCACACACACATGAGATTGTAATTCCAACTAATCCTCCCAAAAGAAACAAAGCGAATCGAATTTCATGGTAACACAAAATGAAAATCAAAACAACGAAAGTATTTATGGACCTAATCACCGAATGCATCCAAAATACAATTCAACTAGACATCCATTTGAAAGGAATTCCATTCCCCCACCCTAGCAATGGCTATAGGCCACCGGCTCAAATTGCAACACTCGCACACACATTGAGATCGGTGCGAACAAACCGAAATAAATCTTAATAATGATTTTGTTAAAATCACAACCAATTTACGGCCACTACCAAACAAACAAAAAAAACGAAACCGAAAAAAATCACACCAATTTCTGAGGAATTGTGGCAATAGAAATGGATTTCGGCAAAGCGGCTTACCAAAAGATTAAAACTGACCGACCGCACAATTGCAACCGAACAGTGTGAAAATGTTAACGAAATTCTGCAACATAGTTTCGACTTGTAGCCATGTTCGGACACACGTAAAGACCAAAAGGATCAGATCACAGAGACACAGAGGAAATGTGGCCATTTACATGTGTGTTACACATGTCTTTAACATTATTTAAATGTGTGTTGTTGTTCTTGTTTTACGTCGTTTAATTTCGTAACTTCGTTTCGAATTTAAACATTTTTGCATAAATGTTAACAATGTTATGTACGATGATCGGTGATGAGAGAAGGTGGTATGGTAATTGTTGGTAGTTAATTAAAATATGCCTGCAGAGAGGTAAGTGGATCCTATAGAGCAGCTTTAGGGACGTATGGACATTCTATGCTGGAAAAATATATATTATATTTAGATGCTACATTGGGTATGGGGTTTATTGGCAGACAAAAGCTTGATAGTTGAAGAACTTCTTTATGGGTGAGCAGAAATAAGACTTTATACAGAACCTGAAGAAAGTTTTTACAGGCGACCTGAAGGGAGTTTTCATGAACCATTGGGAGATCTTCTTCATAAGTGAACTGTAGATGGCATTATAGACGATCTCAAAAAATCCTTTATAGGGGAGCTGAAGTGTGCCTATATATAAGTTTTTAGGGCTGATTGCAGAAAATGTGTGTAGGCGACCTGAATAGGCTCATTATAGACAATCGGAAACCGGCCTTTATGAGCCAACTGAAAGAAGTCATTATAGACGAACCAAAGGGAATCTCTATAGATGAGCTGGAGTGAGTCTTTATAGACGAACTGAAGGCAGTCATTATAGGCGATTTGAAGGGGTCTTAGTTTTAGAGATTTTTTACATTTCGAGTCATTAGGACGATCTGGAGGGTCGAGGTCGAGCTCTTGGGCGTCTTCATGACGGGGATTTCTAAAGAGCTGAAGGACACTGCAGAAAAAAATATTTTCCATTATATACTAACTCATTATATACAAATAAAGATAGTATTTATGGGCGAGCTGGAGGGGGCCTTTGCAAGCGAGCTGGAGGGCGTCTTTATAAGCGAACTGAAGGGAGACTTTATAAACGATCCAATGGAAGACTTTAGAACGAGTTAAAGGGAGCCTTTATCGATGAGTGGAAGAACAGCTCTCATATTTATAGAGCTAAGACGGCAAGTGTTTATTGATGAGCCAAAGACAAGGCAGTCATAAAGACGACCTGAAGTTCAGGTAAAAATTTTAGTAGAACTTAACCCTAGAGAGTATTATTAGAGCTAAAGCCCATAGAGTATTCATAGTAGACCTGAAGGTCTGTACTTATTTTCATGTGATTTGAATGTCACGCAGTTTTTACATTAGACCTGAATGCCAGGAAGTGTTTATTGAGGAATTATTACCAAGGGAAGTTTTGATCTCGACTTAAAGGCCTAGGAAATTTTATAGACAATGTACAGAAAGTATTTTTAGGTCGGTTGAATGCCAGTGAGACTTAAGAATCAAACTTGGAGGCTTTATTGGTGAACTGAAGGCCCGAATGCCTTTTTAGTCGACCTGAAGTGCAGGAATGTTTTTTATTCGATGTGGTTAGTCGACCTGAAGTCCAGGAATGTTTTTTATTCGAAGTAAACTATGTTGTCCTCAAGTTCAGAGAATATTTATAGGCGAACCAAAAGCCGAGGTATTTTATAGAGATTTTTGTAGACAAACTGAAATCTAGAGAGTATATCATATGGGTTGTCTGCAATGCTTTATATCGGATGGATTTTATAGACTAGTTTAGTAAATAAGGTCTGAGGCCAAGAAGCCTTTATAGTCAGGATATTTTCATAGAGAAGTTTAACGAGTTGTTATACCCTCAGACAATTTGGATTTCGGACAATTTGTAGTCGATTTACAAAAGTGTTGCCCTTTGTCTGTCTAGACTCTCGAAGGGAATAACCGATTTAATCCAAATATTGCACATCGTAATATTCCTTGCAAATTTAGTATAAGTTCTAGAATGGGGTATATCAGTCGACTCCTTCTGGTACCTCACCCACAAAACGATCAAAATTGTACTAAAAAACTAATTTTAGAATATCATGCGAAAGGACTATCCGATTTGAACCAAACATTGTACAACATATTATCTTTACCAAGCCTAGATCAAGTTCGAAGGTGAGACCCATTTTTCCTCTCTTTATGTTACATTCCACATTAATGGTCAACATTTTCAATATTTAAAAATCTAATATCAGGCAAATGGAATGCCCGATGAACCAAACTTTTCACAACCTATTATCTTACCATAGATCATCTTCGATTAATATTTA